GATTGTGGGATTGTCTCACAGCTGACTCCACCTGGAACGCCACAGTGGAATGGCGTTTCCGAGAGGAGGAACCGAACCTTATTGGATATGGTACGGTCTACGATGAGTCAGGTCGATCTTCCTCTATACCGCACAACATTATGGCGAACACTTGGTTCGATTAATCTCAATCGCGACGTTTTACCCTTTAATGAAGGTTTGATCTTCCCATGATCAGGTCGGGTCAGTCCCGAGCTGACCCCGTTGGCCGTTTCCTATTTCCCGGGCGAGACGGGAATTTTTCCAATTTTTCTTTGAGTCTGGTCTGGCGGACCAAGTTCTGGTCTGTCCCGGACCAGATCCCGCGCAATGTCTACGAACCTTTATGCGGTACGTACATATATATATATATACCATGGTTTTTTATTATTTTTTAATATATATTGATATAAATAAAAAAATGAAATAATAATTTTTTTATACATGTGTGCAGGTATCAGCACATTTTTCAGAGATATATGTTCAAGAAATCTTAATGTTGGTGATGTTCAGCGTATGAAAGAAAACATACCGCTAATCTTGTGTGCACTAGAAAAGGTGTTTCCGCCTTCGTTTTTCGATGTTATGGAGCATTTGGCTATACACTTACCAGATGAAGCAAGACTTGGTGGTCCAGTGCAATTTCGATGGATGTATCCGTTTGAAAGATTGTTTTTTCATCTGAAAAAAAAGGTGAAAAACAAGAACAAACCGGAAGGGGCAATCGTGAAGCAGTATGTTAACGAAGAAATTACGTACTTCACAAATTTTTATTTTGAGCCACATATCAAGACAAAAGCCAAGAGTTCTTCTCGGTATGGGGATGAAGATGAGATGATGTTTCAATTTAATCAAGTTGATGGTTGTGATATCCCGGCTATATTCAACCAAATAGGTAATTTTAAATTTATATACGTATATATAAATTTAATTAACCATTTTGCGGTTCTAATTAAAAGATATATACAATTGCAGGGAGATTGAGTGGAAAATCGAAAGAAAGATGGTTATCCGTCGAAGAATGGCGTCATGCTAATATATATTGATATAAATAAAAAAAATGAATTAATAATTTTTTTATACATGTGTGCAGGTATCAGCACATTTTTCAGAGATATATGTTCAAGGAATCTTAATGTTGGTGATGTTCAGCGTATGAAAGAAAACATACCGCTAATCTTGTGTGCACTAGAAAAGGTGTTTCCGCCTTCGTTTTTCGATGTTATGGAGCATTTGGCTATACACTTACCAGATGAAGCAAGACTTGGTGGTCCAGTGCAATTTCGATGGATGTATCCGTTTGAAAGATTGTTTTTTCATCTGAAAAGAAAGGTGAAAAACAAGAACAAACCGGAAGGGGCAATCGTGAAGCAGTATGTTAACGAAGAAATTACGTACTTCACAAATTTCTATTTTGAGCCACATATCAAGACAAAAGCCAAGAGTTCTTCTCGGTATGGAGATGAAGATGAGATGATGTTTCAATTTAATCAAGTTGATGGTTGTGATATCCCGGCTATATTCAACCAAATAGGTAATTTTAAATTTATATACGTATATATAAATTTAATTAACCATTTTGCGGTTCTAATTAAAAGATATATACAATTGCAGGGAGATTGAGTGGAAAATCGAAAGAAAGATGGTTATCCGTCGAAGAATGGCGTCATGCTCACACATATGTGTTGTTGAATTGTGATGAAATTCGACCAATAGAAAGAGTATTTGACGAGGAGACAAAGAGACTTAATCCTAATATGAGTGATGAAGAATGTATAGATCTCAAAGAATCATCATTTGCGGCATGGTTACAAAATTATGTAAGTTATTACTAATATTTTACTATTTTAGGTATCTCATACTTATGTTTAATTTATGATAAATTATAAATCAAAATTAATAAACTTTTTTTAAATGTAGGTATCTCATTCTTCGGAGAATTTTCCTATTTGGATACAAGATTTGATCCGGGGTCCATCAAGAATGGTGAAATTTTGGCCAATTATGTTCACAAGAGGATACACTTTCCATACTTATGCTCATGATTCAGATCGAAAGACTTCCAACTATGGGATATGTGTTAAAGGAGCAAATTGTTGTGATGTGGCTGATGAACCAGACTTTTATGGTATCCTCCAAGACATCATGGTGTTAGAATACCACGGTTATATTGGTTTGAAGATGGTTATATTTAACTGTGATTGGTTTGATCCGACCATTGGAAGGGGTATGAGAAGAAATGGATCGGGCGGTTTTGATATCAACTTATCCAAGAAGTATTCAAAATACGATCCGTTTATCCTATCTTCTCAAGCAGATCAAGTATGTTATATAAGTTATCCAACGTCCAAACGACGTCGAGATCATTGGAGAGCTGTCATTAAAATTCAACCACGCGGTGTTGTTCGTCACTAATTTATGACGCAATTGCGTCACCAAAACGCGTCAATAATTACTGACGCAATTGCGTCACTATCTTGTGACGCAATTGGTGACGTTTTTGCGTCACCAATTGGTGACGATTGGGTTACGCAATTGCGTCACTATTTAGTTACGCAATTGCGTCACCGTTGCGTCACCAAATGGTGTGAAATGTATGCGTCACCCTGGCGTCACCAATTGGTGACGCTTGGTGACGAAATTGCAAATGGTGACGGTGCTATTGGTGACGTTTTTTTTGCGTCACTATTGCGTCACCCTTTTTAAAGGGTGACGCAAAATCGCCCTTTGGTGACGCAAAATTTGCGTCACCATTTTCGTGTTTTTTTGTAGTGTTAAATCCAAATCCAAATGTAGGGAGAATGATATTCATCTAAATTTTTTCGACTACTAAAAGATGTAGTTAGGTCAAAGAGCTGATTAAATTTCGTATTATAAAAAAAACATATAAGCCAACAAAAAAATGTATGAATTTCAAGAGCAAAACCACTTCTTATAAGATTAATATGCTTTCATCATTATTTTTGATTTTTTCTCATATTTTATTTTGTTTTTTTAGCTGTAACGCTCTAACATTTTGAAATATAATCATCTAGATTTGAACAGACATCATTTTCAATATAGATAGATATTTTGGATTATTTCTAGGTTTGATTTTGATGGTTTTGTAAAAACTATACATGAATTGATTAAAAAAAAAACTATACACGCATTAACGATGGTTCAATTGCATTCAGGATCGTTTTAAATTTAATTTCATTTAAGAAAAGTTCGTTTTATTTTCATCCGGTATTTTATATTAAATTTGGATTCGTTTCCGTTTTGGACAATTTAGTTTTAAAAGGTTATATCATATATGATCAATCGATTTGGTGTGTATAATATTATATAGAATTATGTATTATACGTCTTGTTCCCATGGGTTTTCACTTTCGTTATCGTTATCATTTTGATATTTGCAATCTAAAACGAACCATTGAATAATGTATGGGTTCAAGTAGTTCGATCCACTCACGATGTTATAAAAAATTTAAATAAAATAAATAAAATAAAAAGTTGGTCCATGGAGCATGAAAAATCAATCAAGCATATTTCTCACGTGCTCATTTTAGGAGACAGATAGGATCGTCGGCAATTGGTGGCGGTGGCGGTCGATTATGACGGGACACCGAGCCCTTTCACCCGACTATATATTTTTATTTTGTTTATTTGTAATTCTTGACAAAATCTTTCAAATTTAAATTAATTTAACTTTTATTTAAAACTATTTGAAAATAGTGTTTTTTTAATACCAAAACTAATCCCAGACGTTTTGTTTCATCAGTGTCTAGATTTTGCAGTTTATAGTTTTAATTTTAAAATAAAAAATTTAGAACAATTCCGTCACGTGCCCGTGGCCGACCTGAACATAGACCGCATGAGATACTGTCCGAAGTCGTTGAAGATTATGATTTTAATTCTAATGGATTAAGATTATGTTTTAAGATTTGTTTTTGGTTTTGTAAAAAAAAATTATAAGTTAATCGAATAGTTATTTAATTTTTACAAAAATCAGAGGTTAATCAAATAATTTTCCTTTGTCTTTTATTTTCCTCCGATAATTCGCCGCCATTAGAGTTCTGCTCTCGGACTGTGCGCAAGCGATTCTCTTTCTGCTCTCGTGTTCCGTCTTCCCATACTCTAAAGGGAAAAATCCGAGTTCAATTGAAAGATTTCACACAGTTGGAGATTAGAAATGTCGATAGGTCTGTTTGCGAAATCTGGGTTTGATGCGTCTGGTTACAGAGACGCAGACAAGATGTTCGATTAATTGCCTCAATGATCTTTTAACTCTTCGCTTTGATTCGTATATGATTCTGCTTTTGCCTACGGATCCATTCGTTGCTGGACCCATATTTTTGTTTGAGCAGAGAGAGTAAATCTTCATGTTTTCTACTCGATACTGTATGAACGCCTCGCGTAATAAAGATGAAATCTTTGTCCTTTTTTTCTTCACGTTGCAGCGTATGTGGGTTTTGAATGTTGTTTATTTCTTCGTGTTTTGCGCAGGAGTGTCCACAGATGTCCACTTCCATGGTGGGAATCGGAACTTTCCGAGGACCCATAGCTCCGGTTAGTTTTTTTACATGTGCCATTGTAATATTTCTGAAGAATTAGCATTTGTAATTGTTGAAGAAATGCTCTTTGTGTTGTGCTATTTTCTTAGCCATTTTGCTTTGTTTGCGGTGGACCAAAAGTACTGAACTTGCAACTTCCATTGATGTGTATTTGGATATTCTCAGGTTTAAGCGTTTGTGGAGTATCTTTCTCGAGAATTAGGAATGCTCAGAACAGCAGAATTTGCTGCAGTTTTTCGTCAGTAGAGAACCTTGTTCCAACTGATGCAGAAAGAGAAAAGAAAAGACCTTTGGTTAAGATGTGCGGTGTCACCTCAGCCCGGGATGCTGCCATGGCAGCTGAAGCTGGTGCTGATTTTATCGGGATGATTGTTTGGCCACATTCCAAACGGTCTATTTCTCTTTCTGTCGCGAAGGAGATTTCCAAAGCAGCCCGAGAAAATGGGGCCAAACCTGTTGGCGTGTTTGTTGAGGATGATGCGAGTACGATCCTGAGAGTAGCTGATGCCTCAGACCTCGAGTTTGTCCAGGTTATTATCTTCTTATTTGTTGTACTGATTTAGTTTTCATGACGGATTTTGATTCATTCACTTGGGATTGTGGTTCATTGCGTTTGTTCAGCTACACGGTGATGGTTCTCGGGCTGCCTTCTTGGATGTAGTGCAAGAGAGGAGAGTCATATATGTTCTTAATGCAAGTGAGGATGGAAAGCTTCTGAATGAAATTTCTGAGAAGGATTGCCATCTTGCTGACTGGGTTCTCGTGGATAGCGCCAAGGGTGGAAGGTACTTAATGTTTTCCTTGCAGAATATCTCGTTTTGTGTATATGTCATACCAATTGTGCTTTAATGGGCTTTTTGTCATCCCTGCAGTGGTAAAGGATTTAACTGGGCTCAGTTCAAGTTACCCCCCATTAGAAGCAGATATGGGTGGCTTTTGGCTGGTGGAATCAAGCCAAGCAATGTTGCAGAAGCTCTTTCCATCCTTAAACCCGATGGAATCGACGTCAGTAGCGGTATTTGTGGCCGAGATGGCATCCAGAAGGATCAATCTCAGATAAACACCTTCATGGACGCAGTTCGTTCTGTACAATACTAATAACTTGCAGGAGGCCAAGTGATTTATCTTTTGACAAGAGTATCGAAACATCAATAAGCTATTCCTTATCACTGTATTTGGAAATGTATGATGACAATCTGCAAGCCCTTCCTTTACATATGTAAGATTTGGGATTGCTGAATTAGTTAGCATAAGGAAACAGTCATCTGGTATAGCTGGGTTAACAGCTTGTGCGTGGATATAAATAACCGTCTGAATAAAATGCACTGTATTGATTTTTTTTACTTGAATAAAAATCTGAATATCGATGTTCTAACAGTGGAGATGGGGGTGCCATGAATTGACCCCCTGAATGGATGACAGCGGGAAAATCCGATCAAGGTCAGAATATATGATATTCATTCTCTGATGAGTCTTATATTTCTTTCTGCTTGGCTTCATTATGTTGTCAGGCTCTTATTTATTCTCCTCTGAGTTTTGGATCTGTCTGATAGTATACAACATCTCCTGTGTCACTGACAAAATGATCCTGTCTCAGGCTTCTTACGAGGCTTCCCAACAAGTGAAACGGCAAAGGTGCAGACTTTTTCGGCTCGTTGTAATACTTCCCTAGTACTGGTTTAGCTGCTTCGGTCTGGAAAAGGGAACACACAAAGGTAAATGGAGTTAAGAGCTTTGACAGCATATTGAAGCATTGATCCACAGCCAAGTCGTCGGTATTGTCTGTCTTATTGAATACCGAGAAAATGGCTTACCGCTTCTATTAGATGATAATGTGGGATCTGCGGGAAAAGATGATGTATCACATGAGTTCCAATATCATGGTGGATATTGTTGATCCATCCATAGTCGCGATCAAGCGTTGTGAGCCCTCCTCTTAGATAACTCCATTCCTGTTCGAAAGAAAGTAGAGAAGAAGTGTGAAATTCTTGCACCAGTGGTTTAGTTATAAAGACAGCATTGCAGCCAAGGGTCATGCATGAAGTAGATTATGCATACCTCACCGCGGTACCAAGGGAGCTTCTCCTCATGGCCATGGTGGTGCAGGTAAGTCACGAAATCCAACCACATCACAAATATCTGCATCGTGATAAAAAAATCAGGATAAAACACCTTAGTATCTGGGAAAAGACAGAATCTTTTCTGTCTGAAACGGGGGGAGGAAGGATAAGCTCAACTTGTTGAGGCCAGTAACGGGGACCACAGACACGAATTCTCTTTAACTGCACGATACATATACATTCCAGGTGAAGAGGGAAAACAGGCAGATGAAGTCTACGGAGAGATTTTATCGGAGAGCTATGCAGTCTATGATACAGAGCCAAGATTGACTGATGTTATACTTTCAGCTGCAGCAAAACCCCTTTTCACAGAAGAAAATTCTCTGTGTTATCATAACTTTACATAAGACAGTCAGAGCATGCAAAACCAGGATCTTTTCTTTTCTGTTTTCAATATGCAAGGAAAGGTTAAGGTATTGAACTTTTTTCTTACAATAGCACGTTCTGGCAGAATGCACGGTGTAACCTCACAAAATCTTGTGAATGCCGTAGAGTTTGAGCATTTGGACTGGACCCATCACAAAGTTGAGATACACAAGCAGAGCAGCCATTGCAGTCCAACAGACGGTAGATGTTATGATATCTTTCCTCTCTTTTGGGAGGAACAAGTCGCTGTCCGGGTGGAAATGAGAACCTTTTTTCCCGGGACTGCGGCTCCACTGCATTAAGAACATCAAAGATCACATTAGAAAGGTGAAAACTTTCAACTCGATGTGCAAAGTTGTGGGACTACAGAGCAAGAAACGGAGAGCTCACCAAGTAGAAAGGGTAAGCGAGCATGGGGAAAGGCAGTGTAAACCTCAAGATCCTGGTCGCTTTGTCCAGATTCTTGTATATATTCTCAGGCAACTGCAGTTACAGAAACAGAAGTCCTTATCTAAGAACAAGGCATAACTAAGACCCGAGCAAACAACCATGCTGCTTATTGGACACTTCAACTTACAGGATGCCAAGACTCGTCATTCTCGACATGGCCATGGTTCTGGTGATGAGTTCTGTGACTGATTCTCCTGCAGACAGTTATACCACATGAAGAAGAAGATTAAGATTCTCTAATGATTTTGAAGTTAAGGTATTTGATTGAGAGGCTGAAAGCAAAAAAGCTCACCAGCCATGGTAAGGAACCAGAATTGAGGAATGAAGGAGATGACCCACTACACTGTTAAGCTTAGGATCATTTGAGAAGCTACCATGTCCGCTGCAATTATATACAAAGATATTTGTTGATGAAGAAGAGAAGGGTACATACAAATGTTGAGTTTTTGCCCTGTTCTGTCTCTTGCAAAACCAATAACCAATTGCCACCTACTTTTTTGTATTGTAACATATATGACAAATCTTGATTGATTGAATTCTGAAATTTCAAATTTTGACCAGTACTGGTGAACGTTACAGATAACGAGGTTGTAGATTTTCTTCCATCCGCATTCATCCAATGAAACGAGCATCTAAACCAAGTTATCCAAATTAAAGAAAACGACAAACGTTATCTTAAACAACCCAAAGGATAAAATTATGAAAGAGAGTGTGTACCAGTCATGGCCAAGAACAAAGAGAGCCCAGAACATGGTTCCTTGAGCAAACCAATAAAGAGGCCACACAAGCCAATTGTTAAGGTAAGCAGCAGCAGCGGCCAATCCGAAGACGACAAGAACATCTCTCACGACATAACTCATCGACTTCCATGGATTCTTAACCCAACAATGCTTCGGAATTGCTGCTCTTATGTCCGCCAAATTGAACGGCGGAGCAGTTCCTGGATCAAACCCATCACCTTCCACCAATCTCTGTGTGTTCGTATCTTGTTCCTCCGATGGGGAAGGAACTGTCAAAGGTGCACTCACATTCAGTGCCCAGTTCCTCGTTTTCAAAAACCCATTTGGGGATTTCAGACAAGACGATAGAACTGAATTGCTCGAATGGTGGAGAGGTTGTGGTCTGAATTTGAAAGTGGGTATGTTGTTTGAGGTGAAACCGTTTCTGGGTGTGGTGGTGTAGATTCTGGGAAGGGGTCTGATGCCACATTCAGACAATACCCAGCTCGCCATTGGACACCGGAAGAAGCTGAGGATGAATCCAAGACAAAGTTTCAGTCTTTATTTCTTTTAAACCCAAACAAAAAAGTTTCAGTCTTTCTCCGCCTCTCACTTCTCCCTTAGAAACAGAGCTTGCGAAAGAGAGAGAGAGAGGAGATAACGTAAAGATTAATCTCCTCCACTGAGAGAGAGAGAGAGAGAGAGAGAGAGAGATCAATGATCAAGTTGTGTGTGCTGCTTGTTGCTTGTCTTATATCGCTGTCTGGTACGGACACAAAAGCCAACAAGTTCACAATGACCTTTAGTTTTTGCGAGGTCGTGCGCGTGTATGCGTGTTAGTGACTGACTGTTTATCTTTTACTTTTCTTTCTACTCTGAACCCAGAAAAAAGCAGCGGGAAAGGGGGTATGAAAAAGTGGTCGGCACTCGGCATAGTCGTGGAACTATTTTGACCCCAAAGCATACAAAGAGAATACATATCTCGTACGATGCAAAATCCTGTAATTTTGATTAAAAAGTTGGCATCTTTGACATGTATTCAAGTGTAATAAAATCCGACGTTTTGTTATGTAGGTTGTTAGGGGATTTTAATTTTTATTTTTTTTATAATCTTTGTTTTTTGTCTTTAAAATATTATTATTTGCTTCCACAAAAAGTGATTGGAACAATCACAAACCCTATAACTAGAATGAAACTTGTTTTGTTTGAAGCCACGTGTTTTTCATGCCTCCTTGCTTTCGGCTGTAATTTCCGCCGGCCTATAGAAAGCCTTCACAGAAATAGTTTTTAGATAATATATGATGTGAAATTTCAAAGGATGGTATTGACTCTATTATCATTGGTTCAACTTACAATGATCCAATTCAATAGAAAAATATATACGTTATGAATTGCAGTTAAGAGTAATGTTTAAAAAATAGAGATGGTTATTTATATTTTTCATTCAATTATTTTTATATTTGATTTTACAAAGCTACATATATATCATATATCACATTTCGGTTCAACTTGAATGATATTGGGTTGAACTCATACCCGATATTCATTAATTTCTACATATACATATATATATATATATATATAATCTATAGATAACTATTTTTAAGCCATAGAGTTTTATAAGAATTAGCAGTATACGGACCACAATAAAACATAAAACATGAATAATCCATTCCTCATTCCCCTATAATTATGTTGTCTTCCTTCATTACATTGGTACAATTACTTTTACAGTGTCATGATGGACTTCTCACAAAACACAACCATTGAAGCAAAACTTCAGATTTGAGTTGCTCAAAGTCCAAGCCCCACTCTGCACTTTGCTTTTGGTTCTGTTTCTGTATTCTCTCAGTGACAATGGCTCCAAATTCACAGTAGAGAATCAACCCATCAGCTTAAACTACGAGCAAGAACCAAAGCCTGCCTTCTTACTCACCTTTCCCTGCCTGAGTTGGAAAAGAACACTCGATCAATTTCGCTGATTGCATCAATGTGGGTGCTCGGTAGCAACAGCCGCAACAAGGGTACTGCCGAGGTTGAGGGCTTGAGCTTTGGTCTGATCTTTTCCACTGCTGTTTTGATGGCAGATGGAGATGGTACCCCATACCATTTTAAGTACCATGAGAGAAGGATTATATCCTTGTGTTCTCGTGGTTTGTTATGATCAATCCATAGTCCTGAGCTCAGATAATTGGTTAAGTCAGTCTTCAGTTGTCCTGAGCAGTTTAAGATCTCTTCGAACCGTTTTTTCAGTGATGCTAAGAATATTGACTGAACAATTCCACCCGATGCGGATAGTCTTCCTCTTGAGACGGCTTCGTTGTAGGCAAGAGCAACCTGCAAACAGGAGTAAAATCCTAATAGATATGCAACCCTGCCTTCAAAGATGGATGCAATACAGAAATTAGAAACACCATGGAATAGTGATTCATGATTTCAATCTGTTATCTGATTTCCAAGAAACATATTTAAGACTATACCATAAATCACAAGTGAGGTTTATTATAGCAAAGGGGGGAAGATGAAATGCAGAGCTTTTGAAAAATACCTTGAGGCTCGAGATGGAAAGTGAATCCCATATGGCACAGTCACTTTTGACAAGCAGCTCAGCCATAGATGCAATGGTTGTATAAAGAGATAAATAAACCTAAGTATCAGTTAACATCAAAATACGTTCACTGTTCAGATAAGCTGTTTGCAGGGCGGATTAAGAATTTGTTAGACAAAACAAGTCACCAAAGAATAGTAGCAGGTTGCTTATTTAAACAATATACCTGCAAAAGAGCTGGTCTGTCCTTGCTCACACATTCAAACAACACTTGAAGGCAGAACTCCTTGAAATTGGAATCAGATCTGTAAGAAAGGAGATGTGAGATTGTCACTCATACTGGAAAGCAAAATATAAGAACGGCACATTCTAAGCAATGAATGGAATGATGATACGGTGGTACATTATATCCCACTGTTAATGATCACAGATAAGTTAAAAGACTACGGCATCATAGAAAACAAGAAGTATCAAAGGAACACAGGGAACTATTAGCATCTATCCAGATGGAAGCCCATCTCAGTAGTCTCGTTTCATGCAACGTAATTATTCTCGGAAATCAAGTGAAAATGATCAATGAAGAAAAAGAGAACTATAAGCACATATATACATGTATACCAAGGGGATAAAACAGCAAGTACCTGTCATTCCAAGAATTGTCACAACACAACTGGGCAAAAGCTATTATGCTGGGATCTGATGAGAAAGTGCTAACCAGTTGGTCCACACTATCAGAATTCAGTTCTCTTTGACCGTTGACATGTAAGTCAGATGCACTCAGACTTTTTAAACCAAATACCTGCATTAACGAAAGCACTAGGGGATCATGAAGTGTTGATTCATATATGAAACTGAGCAAGTCGAATCTATGATCACGGACTCAACCTTGTGCATTGCTCGAGAAAGCAGTGACTGACACCCTACGGGATCCTCGACATATGAACAAGCTCCCACCTTCCGTTTGACATAGATAACACCAGAATTAAAGGGGTCGTTTCTGTCCCCAGAACTCCACCAAGGTTTCTCTGTGTTTTGTCATGGGTTAGAACGATGTTAGATATCTCTGTTTGGTTAAAATATCTTAGTATAAGTTAGACAAAAAGGAAAGGGGTGTGAAGGAAAGATAAGATATAAGGCAGTCTGCCACCTTCTGGGATAAGCTCAACTTGTTGAGGCCAGTAACGGGGACCACAGACACGAATTCTCTTTAACTGCACGATACATATACATTCCAGGTGAAGAGGGAAAACAGGCAGATGAAGTCTACGGAGAGATTTTATCGGAGAGCTATGCAGTCTATGATACAGAGCCAAGATTGACTGATGTTATACTTTCAGCTGCAGCAAAACCCCTTTTCACAGAAGAAAATTCTCTGTGTTATCATAACTTTACATAAGACAGTCAGAGCATGCAAAACCAGGATCTTTTCTTTTCTGTTTTCAATATGCAAGGAAAGGTTAAGGTATTGAACTTTTTTCTTACAATAGCACGTTCTGGCAGAATGCACGGTGTAACCTCACAAAATCTTGTTTCTGAATAAAGTTCTGTCTCCTTGATCGTGACTTCAAGTGGTGCATAGACGGGCAGACCAGTATCAACGTCAATAGTCTGTAACCAACGAGCTTCGGTTGCAAGGACATATAGATGCCTGAATGCCTGGAGAATAGCAAAACCTCTTCCTCAATCAGATACGTTCCAGCCAATGGATAGATTTCATGATATAGATCAAACTACACAGAACACCAACAGGGCATTCCTTTTATATCACGATCCACAAAGGGATAGTTGTCAAGAGATTCAATATTATTGAAAATTCTTGCTCACACCAACCGAAAACACACAAAAAAGGAAAGAAAAGAGAAGAAAAAAAATCAAATAAAGGACATGCCTGGAGGTGACAACGATTGTCATTTGGTCCAGAAGGCAAGCGTGGATATAGAGCGATGAGCAACATTGCAATGGAACCATTAGTTGTTGAAAATGTCCGCATACCACCTCCAAGGAACAAGAATCCAGTAGCTAAGCTCACCTAAAGGAAAGAAGAATAAACTGGCTCAAATCTCAGAAGATGGATGAAAGGGGTTCATTATTCAGGGAAATGTTCACTGGAGAACCAATTATATATGCAGAACCAAGAGACCTCTAACATATACACAGTCCTAAGTTTGCTTGTGGAAGTTTACATTTATGGTGACATTGCTAGAAGAATGTGAATATATTCATATTGCTTTACATGTTTTAAGTAATTCAGAGCATATCGATTAGTAAATGAAATGGTAATCAGAATTAAAATCGTTTGGCCAGATAGTATCACATTTTATACAACGAGCCGGAAATTTTTTATTATATAAAAGATCAGCAATTTCAAGAGGATAAGTATAACTACTCCAGCAATACATTTCAGCGAGGGAATTTGATTAAAGAAGAGACCCGAATTTTTGTAGGAAGCCCTTACCGCCATTTGAATGCCATAATTAGCATGTCCATCAGCAGAATTTCGGCTGCGGAGAAACCTCAATAGGCGAAATATTTGCAGGTCTCCTGAGCCAGCCATGACCTTCACATAGAAATGAGCTCGTTGACTTGAAGTTCAAAACTGATTTAAAAATGAAATCGATTAGACAAGTAAAAAGAAATTATTACCACCGAAAGGGAAAGAATAATAAGATAAAGACACATTTCAAGTGTTCCCCGATCTACATATTTAGATAACCCTCTCGGAAATCTGTCTCCAGTTGTAGCAGAAACAGGCTTGATCTACAGGCATCAACACAGACAAATTCATACATAGATAATCAGAAGAAAATCCAGAAAATGTTTTACACGTGCAACTGCAAGCAGTGAGGCATGCAAAAGGTATATATACGATATAACATTACATAGGATAGCAGACCTCATTCAACAGATAGAGAGCATAATTGGAAAGTAACTCACGAGCATTCCCATCTCTTGTGCCGGCAAATCTCAAACCTAAAACAAAATATTATGAATGTCATGATATCACGAGAGATAGTAGGCCAATGTGAGCACCATAAACAGCATCTAAACATACCAAGTGAAATGCAGGCTCCAGCCACTATATTAACATATGCCTGCACAAGCGCTTCAACATCCACTTCTTCCATATCATCCATGTCGTCTTTGAGATACTTGATACCATTTCTGACAATTTCCGGGACTTGGGAGTCTATCCAATCATTTGTTGCGTAGACTCTGAAAAAGAAATCTCTTAAAACATGAGCTATAAGCAGAGTCCATAGAAGCAAGCCCATCAAATAGACAAGGTGCAAAGAATACCTGTTCCACATTATCAAGTTCTGAGCAATGACACGGAGCATTATGAAATCAGGCCTTACACACTGCAAATCATAATGTGTTTGCGGGATTGAGAGCTTCGAGAAGATGACCTCTGACTCTGTCTGGAAACATATCAGATTAGAAGATTAGTAAGATTTTCTTTTTAAAGCATTCACCCTTGATGCAGACAAATGCCAAAACAAACTGTAGCTGCTGATAAGAAGCTGATTTATCATCCCAAAGCCTTACTTTAAGATACATTAATGCCAGGGCCATTATTGCTCCAGGAGCAGTCACATCAACATTAGATGAACTCCCGTCCGCAATCTGAAACAGATGACGAAAAAAGATGCTCGTAACCCATGTTTATACACATAAAAATTCCCAGACTTTACTGAAAACAGAACAGGGTAACCTGTGCAGTGCTGCGATTATCTTCAATTGATGCTGTAAGGAGAGATATTTCCTGTTGGTAATTCAAGGAGTTGTTCAGTTTGATAATGCACCCAATTTTCACATTTGACGTAAGGAAAAAAAATGGTGCAGTTCCATTTCAGGGCAGCAGTTTCAATGGAGCAGAGTTAACTGCTGCCCTGAACTATATTGCTAAGTTAAATTTCTAGGATACAGCGAATGTGAAAATTCAGAGCACAAACATTTAACCTCTTTCCCGCCAATATATTGGAGTAAGCGATTGACAAAGGTTTCCATGAAACCGAGTGTATCTTCTCCACGGCCTTCAGTCAGAAAGAGTACAGAGTTAGCTTGCACAGAGGACAGAATAGCCAGTAACCGAAAGCAAAAAGGCATACCCAGAGCAACAAGACCAAGTGAAAATCCAGCAGATACAGCATAACCCTCCCTTTCAAGCACGTTATCACCTGCACTTCGGCGACCAATTTCACCCTGAAAAAACATTAAAAAAAAAAAAGGGATCTGGTTGCTATAGAAGATTTCAGAGGAATTGCGGAGAAGTAATATTAAACTCAGTATCTAATAAAAGATGTGTATGAAATTTCATATTGTTCATAATGTATAGTGCACATTAATATGAACCTGTCACTGTGATACTTAAAGATAACACTCAAACCTGGACCTTATCAAATTTCCTAAAAATCCTATCACCAAATGTAAATGCCTAAAAGAGTAGGGGAAACAAGCAAAAAATTCAAGTAAGAAGATTTGATGGAAACACAAGCATGTATTGTAAGGTACGAAATCCAATATCTACTCCAGAAACACATCTTGCAAAGATGCCTTAGCTTAAAGAAAATTGGCAGCTACAGCCGCTAGTTGTTAACTAGACCAAAAAACTTCAAAATATTACAAACTGGTAGTTTGTTAATTAATAGTACCTACGACCAATCATCACGTGTAATAATTTGCTCCAGAGGTAAAAAAGAATGCTTAATTGGCAAAAATAGTACATTAGATTTCTTGAAAAAGTAGAATAAAAAAGGAGAGAACATACCAAAAGAAATTGCATAGTCTGCAGGTGTGCCGATCCTTCAAATAGAATGCCGACTGAAACCAATGCTGCAGACTGAAGAATAAACAATGATACCTTGTCATATAAAGGTTTACTAATTTAAATATTCTCTATTTTCACTATTAACCAATTCATCCTTGAACCGTTTCTGTAGAGATGTAAAGGAATTTATCACAGAAAGACACATGTTAATGAACAGAAGATCAGTATACTAAGCAAGTTAGGTTTATCCAAGAAACTCAAGAAATCCCCATAACTAACAAATTGGAAATGATGTATGTAACCAAAACAAAGAAAAAGGATTCTAATCACACTAGAGCTCTCAATTGACAGTCAAAATAATGAATATCCAGATTGTGAAAAAAGTGAAGTACACCAGGTTAATCATAAAATCCAATCCCGTTAAGACATAAAGGTAGCCAACAAAATGAGAAAGACAGTTATTCCCTGGTTAATGCACAAAGAATCAATGATTTGGACGCTCTT